TGTAAAACTGCACTTTGCAATGTACAGTATCACAATGAATTCGAGCCCAAGCAGTCCAGAGTACTCATTGTTTACCTGGTCCTTGCGTTTCCTTTTTCCATAGCAATAAAAAAGAAACTCACTTTGCTAATAACCTTGTTGTTCTTAAATATTTTTGACCATGCCTAGACAGAAGGAAGGACTGAAAACACAGTTTGCATATCACAGGGCTCCCTTTCATGACCTGCTGAGTCCTCTTGCACAGCCACCTCGAGGTACATGTCCTGAAGGAAATCACACACAAGCACGTCACATGTCCCTGCTCCCGACAACTCTCAGACGTTTACTGACGTATACTGAAAGCAAGTGTTTTTTAACTCTTTTTTCAACAGGCTCATTCCCATTTCTGAAATGTGGAAGGCAAAACTAAATAAATGCATGAGAGCCAAAGGCAGGACACTGATCACCATTATAAGAAGGCAGGAAGATTAATCTGGGATGCATTGGCTTTAAAATGATAAACCACATGGATATTTAGGCCTTTTATTAGCTTTTTAGGCAGCATGGTCAGGTGTCTTGCATTCTATATGAATGCTTGCCTACCAGAAGAGCTCTGTTAACAACCATGCAAACTTCAGGGCTTTTAATAACCTTTTTCTGCATTCTAGCATGTCATTCACTCCTTTGATGGTACACTGTAGCTCCACCATGTATTAAATAAACCTTTCCAATACTGCTGCTTCATGCAGGCATATGAGAAACGAAGCTACATGACAACTCCCAGCACTTGCCCTTTGTCATACATAACCCCGATAACCAACAATATAAAACGTATGAACCTAAAATGACAGGGGGTAACACTAGCACAATCACAGTTTAATATTATACCAAAACGTTCCTCTTGACCAGTGATGTGGAGAAAAGGATAACAATAAAACTAACAAGTAACTGAAAATCTGCCTCTGACATCACCCTTCTCAGAACATATTTTTTCTCAGTTGCACATCTGCACTTAAATTAATTTAGCAAAATCTGTTCTGATACTGTAGAATTTTACTTTCTAGTACAACACAAAATCAGAATTACCTGTAGAAATGACTATCCCTCATAGCTGACTTTGGACATGTTGGATTTATTCATGTAAATTGCACACAATGAGTGCCCACAGATTTAAAGGGTTGTAGAGCAAATACATTGTTTGAAATTCTTGGTATTAATTTTCATAGTGCAATTCTTTATTTTCTTCTATACCAATATTGTAGTGGATTTTGAGCTAATGAGCTTTCATACTTTAAATGCAACAAGGTTACTTACCACAGGCAAGCTCAACAGTAAGCTCAATGGGTCCTTTTAGTACAACACAAAGGCCAAATCAGATCTTGTTTAAGATACAGCCTAAGCTTGAAAGTGCTCCTTTCACTATTAACAGACAGCACTGTTTTAGAAAAAGTGGACGGGAGTTTGGAATATTGGACTGTAGCTCTAAAGGCATTTACACAACATAGGAAAGCTCCTTAATTTATAGAAGTCTACCCAATTCTATGAACAGACAGATGAGTGTACTAAATATATTTTTTTCTAATGTGCCAAAAGCCATTGCTGAATTACCTTAAAGATATGCAATGGGAAACAAAAATTACAATATTACTTGGAGTTATCAGGATAACTATAATTTTTCAGGTGGCAATACTTGCAAACCACAAAAACAAATTCAAGGTACTGTACTGTGCTGTATGTAGTAAACATAATCTGATTGTCCATTCATGACAAACGAGATACTTTGTCATGGAAACATCCCTCACTTGAACAGGCCTGCAGTATCTATCTACAATATAAGCTATAAATGTAGCTAACAATTAGGTTAGGACATGACTGAACACAGTGCATTTCAGGTTTACAAATGTGCTTTTCACTTTTCTTCTCGGGGTCAAAAGTTTGTACTAATGCCTATCTTTACTGCAAGAAATACTTTCCAATATTTCCAATGATATTAAATCAGTTACACGTTATCTCATAATACAATTAAATTAAGCGCTGTCAAGTGATGTGTTTTAACCTATAAACCTGTCTGCAATTTTAATACAAGCCCTCAACAGATTTGTTGAGATTTGTTAATCAACAAATATCAATGCCAGATCAATTAGACCACATCAGTTTTGGTCAGATCCTATTCTCATGTACTGTACATCATTCTTTAATAAAGGAGCTATTTTATTAATCTGCTTCTGCAATAAATGAGAGGTGATTGATTTGATTGATGCATTTTTCCTCAAAAGCCACTAAGCCAGTGTAGTTTCAGCTTCTCTTCCTTTCGATTTTAAGTTACACTCAAAATACAGATGTGAGTTTTGAAGATTTACAGTCCATGGTAGCAGACTAAATCACTCTCAAATCACAACAGAAATGAAATACGACGCAAAAAGGCACTTCTGTTTCACTATGCAATATAGAGGAAAACAACGTAAAATGTTAATTAGGTCTCCACAATTGAATGCTGTCTTACTGTAAACAGAAGCAAAGCTAGAATCTATTTTACAGATGTTGTAAAAACATTAAATAAGAGCTGCAAGGAGTAGTACAAACCAATAAATATACTGTACATTTTCTTATCTGAAAGGTTCAAATATTTTCTTCAGCAGCAACAGAATACTCAACATGCAAGATCATGACTTAAAGTGTGAGAACCACAATTTCTGATATTGCCATTTCTCAATTTACACATCTACAGCTAATGTCATTTTTGTGTTATAGTAGTGATCTGCATGTCAAATGTTATCTGTCTTCCATCCTGTCTATGCATAAGAGTCCCGGAATGCTTACGACAATGGTTCATCTGTCTGTTGATCCACTTAAGACCACTAAAGACGAAAATTAATCTGGAGCACTCCGCCATCTGCTAAAGATTAATGTTTTATTTATATTTTATTAAGATTTGATGGACAAGCAATGTGACAGTGGACCACATTTTTTCCCAGGGGGAAAACCTAGCAGGCACTGGTTTAGTGTTATTCTTTTTTAGTGCTCATCGCCATTACAGTCGGTCTCACATTTTTTTTTTCCCTTCTTGAAAACAACGTCATCGATGGAAAAAACAGAGAGTGCTTGACCTATTCATTGCTTTTTGCCCTCTTGTATTTTCATTACACACTTCTCTGAAAATACCCGCATTGCTTGCTCACTTGATTTGCAGAACATCATACTGTAATCTCATTGTGATCAAGCAGGCATCGTGCGATTTGTCTCGGTTCTTGGTCCATTGAGGAAGTCACCATGACGAGCAGATAAGAAATGACGGTGATCTAAAAATGCCATTGTTTTGGGTTGCGTTGAAGCGAAGGCTTTCATTATTTCACAATAAGCACGATAATTACTGGCCGTCCTTAAAAATGCATTATGATTTAATTAGATTGGTAATTGGTACAGGTGGTACTGAGGTTTGTCATTAAGCGACTCCATCTTAAAACACACGTTAGATGATGAGCATCTTCTCAGGACTAACAGGTGTAAGAGCTGCAATATAAATCCATCAGCAATGGCTTCTTCAAAAGCCAATGAGCATGTCTTGGGCAATAGACCATAAAAACAAACAAATGCATTGTACTGAAGATGCATATTTTACAGACGAGCATTTCAGTGCAATTTGTTTTCCTTTATAAACTCGCATATGGCGAACAGACAGCTGTGTTTTTAATTTACCATCCTCCCAGACAGAAGCAGAGATCAGGATAAAAAAAAATCTGAATGCTTAAAGCTACCCTATTTTTCATAAGTGGGTCAGTTTTAATGAGCAAGCATAGCAGTTACTTAAAGAATGGTACAGTGTACACAGGATACAGTAATTGCAGCTCTCTAACAGTGAATATTCTTGATTGCTCATTTCTTTCCACATGCAGACATTTTTGTTAAGAAATTAAAGACATGAAATAATGAAAATTCTAGAAGTACAGTAACACTGGTGTGGGGGAGGAGGCGTGGGTAGGATCTGATAATCACACAGTAGCTAAACCTGGAACTCTGGTCTCAGTCTTTCCGCCAGAAAATGCTGTATTGTTTTTTTTTATTATTTGGGCTTAGTTGGTTTCTCTTTTGTAAAACGCATTTGAAAGCCTCCAGGGAGCAACAAGATAAATGAAATGTCTAAAAATAAAAATATAGTTCATGGGTAGAGGAGTGAAAGGAAAAGTTAACACAATCCCTGACCCTAAGCATCACAAGCTACAGGGCTCAAAGCAAAGTGTTATGTTGTGAATAATGTGTTGATCATAAAACATTATTCCTGAGAAACGTATTTAGATCTACTTGAAATGCTGGGAAGATCTGGATACACATGCACACGTTATTTATGCATATTGTATATTACATAAGCAAAGGAATCCATATTGCTTTGGTATATGTTACAAATATATCCATACTGTGTGCAAACGTGCAAATTCAATAGACATATTCTTTAGAAAACCTTATCTTTTTAAGCACAGACATGAAACCACAAGTCATATTCCAGCACCACATAAAGCACTTTTCTGTAACGAGCGTTTGAAACTTAACAAAAACTACGAGGGTTGCCAAGAGTTAAACTGAAAAAGTCAAGGCTAGGTTCTGAATAATTGCTATATTGTTAGAATATCCTTAGAGGAGTACTCCCTAGTTCACTTTCCTTCAGACTCCTTTGACCCATCTAGACAAGCGTGAAAACATGAAACAAATGAAGGCTAACAAAGGCAGTTCTCATGGACCATCCATACACAGGATGCAAGCGAAGAGCTGTTTGTCCTGCACACACTACTGTGCTTAATTAGAATTCAGCTAGAGAAAAATTAGCAATACCGCACCAAACAGATTCCACAATTTTCCCCAATATTTCCTCGATAGATACCATATATACAGTACACAATGTCTCCCATTCTACTCAGTTTGCTAAATGCAGAACACACACATGCATTCCTAGGCAAGAACAGAAACAAGATTAGCACTCATTCTGCATACAGTATCAAAAGAGAAAACAGCTATTTTATTTACAATACCTTTTTGTGTCTGCCCTTCTTCCATATTTTCTTCCATTGTGTTTCTTTTTACCTTGAAGTGAAGCTGCTACACAAAATTCAATAGAGCCCACAGTATGGTATTTTAAACCCTGTTATTTTTCCCCTGAAAGCTTCCACAGCAGTGGCTCAGTAAACTCCTCAGAGCTTAGCTCAGAGACTCTCACACTCCCTACTTTGCTAGGAGATTGCTTGTCAACTGTAATTTCATTCAAATTACTCTTCCGTGAAGATTATCAATTTTTCTTCTCGACGCTGTCCATTGTAAGCCACTGTACACAGGTATTTAAGCGACTATCCCTTGGAATGTGGAGGTAAAATGAAGCTGTCTGTAAGGGAAAGAGGCATCCACGCTGAACAGAGAAGGTGTTTAAAAAAGATATAGGGGCTTGTGTTGAAATAGACGCTTTGCATTAAAAACAGCCCTCTGCACAGGGAACAGATGGAGGGGTGTATCTGAATGAGAAGCAGACCACCAACCCATATTCCCCCTATTGCTTAGAATGGAAAATCCCAACATGCTGTGGGGTTTTTTTTTCATGCTGCATTAACTGACTCTCACCAAATGAACACATTGCTGTAAAGAAATAAAAACGCATTTTCTCTGGATGCCTATTTCTAAATTTCCTAACTAAAGAGATGCAGAGGCAGAACAATGAGAAAAGACATTCTGTCACAAAACCCCTGATCATTCATAAATTTGCCCATTGTTATCCTGTGACAAATATACACTAATCAGGGTTCTCCTTAGGAGATCGGGTCTGTGAACCCTGGAATAATAATTCGGTGATGCCATATTGCTTCCCTAATCTTGGGCTATCAACACCACTCTGCCATGTGTCATGTCTGAGGAAAGGAGATCACCTTCTTACACCACTGAAATATACTGTATTGGTAGGATGCAAATTTCAAACACTGAGTGCGCTAATAATATCACAGGCTCGCTGAGCAACAACCAGAGTCCATTAAATTAACACAATTATTTATTAATGAAAGAAGGACCATTAGTTACGATAGTGTAGTCAAAAATGCAAGCAGAAGTGTCTGTACAGCCTAGCAACAAGATAAGCGGAAGATGTATGAGCTAGCTTATATGAATACATTAAAATGATTGGTTATACACCACATTACACAGTGCATATCATTAATATTGCAATGCACAAGAGGCATTATTATTGAACAGTTTTACCCTAGGCAGTGTGCTGCTATCAGGCACCATAAAAGGGTAACGCAGTCAAACATACCGAAGAGGGGTTGAGTAAAAAACACAGAAACAATGGACGAGAAACACAGCAGTGAGGAGAGAAAATGCCATCGACATGAAAAAATCTATACTGTATGTTAAACTGTAATTTAGTGTCCAAACTGAAAGCCACGACACAAGAGCTGAGAAGCAGCAGTGCTTACTGCCACATCACCATGCTGAACCACTTTGTAAAACTGCAGAGCATAATTTTAATTTTACATAGTGTATAATTATTAGCTTCTGAACTTGAACATTAGAGTGACATCAATGTAGTCAGTCTGTGTTAGAATGAAGAGGATTTGTCTAACTGACAGCATTTACTGAATATTTCTACCACAAACAAGTCATTTATTTACATAGTGCATGCACTTAGCAGATAGGATTACAATCCAAGATCTTTTTTGACACCGTCAGCACATGTATTTTCCATTGGCAAGGCACTTGATACAATTCTGACATTACTTTCAATCCAGAAGGATTTATGTTCCTTTATTATTGTCAGATTGTATGTCCTTATACAGCAATTTATACACAGAGCATTCTTCAAAGGTTCATTCTTTGACTGTTGTAGCATGATCTCAGATTAAACCTGTTGTGAAAAATATGGATGCATTTGACTTCAGCACTCCCTTGACTGAAAGGCAACTCTTTACAATAACTTATGAAAGTTTCTCTCTCCATCCCACACCTGAAAAAAACAGCTGCTGAAGAATTTAAATTTTCATTGGAAACTTTGCTCATCGCCTTCCCAGACTATCACACACACTTTACAAAAAAATCCCTTACTACCATTCACAATCATGGCTGCAGATGTTGTATGCATCCTGTCACACAACACTAGTAGTGTATAAGTAGTATATATTGCTCTAATCTTGTTAATTGACTCAGAATCTTCTCAAGCATATTTGTATAGGTTTAAATCTTATTTTTCGCTATTGTGTAAAGATCTGTTCTACCGCATTGCTAGTAAACTGACAAAACAAGGTGAGCATTTTTGGTGCTTTTCTTCATTGTTTAAATGACTTTGATTTCATCTCTTAGCATAGATTCGGGGCCAAAAAGAATGCAAAATGGCTGAAAATAGAATGATGGTGTCTAATGTATATACTGTATCCTATGTCCACACCTGGGAAACAAAACCTAGCATTCTCTTAACTAACGATATTTTTGGCTGTGTACCAACCCTCTCTTTAGCTTCAATTTAACCAGGTGTCTACTGTCTATACTTACCAAGTTATTTCAAAATGTTTAAGGGGACATCAGTCCAGGTGCAAAAAAATGCTTCTGGAGATCTACAGTATGACACAAGGGAGTACTAAAAGGTTAAATATAGTTAATGCTGGAGCTGAAAAAAATTAGACATCAAGTGCTCACTAAAAGCTCTTTTGGAGAACCTTTGTGGTTTATTGATTGTTCAAGACATTTATTATATAAATATTTTTTCCCCAAATCTCTTGTAGCCTGATTTGAAAAATACTGTTTTTTCTTTCCAAAACCACAAACAGGTTTCAGTGGTGTCAATTTCATTACAAATGATAAAGATACCCCACATTTTATTTCATGTAACTTGAAACCACACTCACTCCACTGAAAACCTCTGAGGAGAAATGAATCAGGAAGCAGCATACAGCTCATCTGTGCTATCATTACCATTACAGACAACATAAAGTGTTCATATCTGAGCTACATTATGTCATTGGTCAGATATGTCTGGGAATCTCCAAGCCCCAGAACACAACTGGCTAAGTGCTACCCAGGAGTTACTGTAGGCAGGGTACACAACATTGACCCCTGTACTTTCCTTAGGGATATAAGAAAGGTTAAAAATGAGAGGAAAGAATTCAGCCCATGTACTGTATACTGGGTGACAGTTAGCAGTTACTGTAATACTTCCAAAGGTCTCATATACTGTAGCTGTTTCTTAAAAGAAGCCAGGTTTATCACCTATGAAAACAAAGACGGTTTGCTTTTTCTATACTTTTTTTATTCCTTTCTTTCCTCTGTTTCAAGGGCCTGACTTACTTAATACTAATAATTTGGACAAAATATTAGTGTCTGGTAAGTGGTGATAACTCCATGTGGTTGTAGCCATACTCAAAGGCCCTACTTGGTGAGCTAATTGCATGCAAAACTGTTCAATGTGGAAATCAGAATTAGCATGCAAATGCTGCAGGGTAATACAGCTGATGTTGATTCACAGTAGATGAATGGGAAAAGCAGGTGGCGTTAGTTTGGATATGGATTATAAAGAGAGAAAGAAAGAGATGTAGCAAATCAGACAGCAGTCACACCGTGCTGTTTGAAGTGCTGCAGTCAGTCATTACACATAATTCAAGACAGTATGAAGTCAGGCAGACATACAGGAGCAATGTACGTGATGTGGATATTTTTTTACTCTAAACACAGAAATCAGCATACCCTTCTACCAATTTCCCAATAGAGTTTAGGGCTCTGGACAGAAAAGTGTAAGTTCGTGGGTTCAAATTCTGGATGGGACACCACTGCTGTGCCATTGAGATAAGTACTTCACTCACATTGCCCTGTGGTATAGATGCATAAATGGGTACTCTCCAGGTGGTCATTGTGAATGAGCTTTTGTTCTCAATTGACTCATCTAGTTTTATAAAGGATTAAATAGTAAATGGGATTATACAGTATAATTGATGCTACTTACCTGAGCCAAGTACCACCATTTAGTAAATCAGGCCCCTAATGTTTAATTAAAACAGTAGCAGCACCACAACAGATGATTCCTGTCACACTCTGCCTTGGGAAGGTGTGGTTATTTGAACTACACTTGTCTGCACCAGCACCAATATATGGAGTATACTGTATATGAACATACTGTTACTCAATAATGTAATATTTTATCTTATTGTTTCATTTGCTTCCTATTCAATTCTCTGTGTTGAAAATACCTGTGCACTGAACCTGCTTTGATGGTTTGTAAACTAATCCGAATTACAGCAGGTCCCTGAACACCTATGCCTGTGTTGAACCAGGAACACTGTGGGTTTCCTGAAGTCCTCTCCTGAGCTCTCACTGAATGCACTTTACCCAGAATTATATTAGACTGAGGCTTGTGTGAATACTCCGTACCCCCTTTCATTTTACATCTGCTTGTGTCGCCGTGTAAAACTAACACAAGATAAAAGGTAAGTCCCGCTTAACTATCTTCCAATAAATAACTGTGTGAGTCTTTACAATGTACAGTACAAGTCTTCTGCACATGCAGAAGATGTGCTGTGCTGTCTCTGCAACTGGAGAGGCTGGTCTCAATGGTAAACCGATCTCAACATTTTCCTTCACTTACTCCATCCAAATATACCTGACTTAGATATAACCCCACCCCCACCACAAAACAAATGCTCAGTAGCGCTTTTGTCTGTCAAGCATGTGAAGAGAATGATGGCCTCATCTCTCCCACATTGCAAGAGTAACTTCTGCTCAAACTTCCTATGACATGTGCTACTGTATATCCTCCTTTCCCAGGAACAGTAATCCAAACAATTACATTGCATCAGATCAAATGAATATGTGCACCTGTGACTTAAAGAACTACTGTATTTACTGTTGCTATGTACTGTAGCAGGACTGTATTTATTCATTTTTGTGTTATTTTTCAGGCTGGCCACAATATCAAACAGTATCACTGCGATGGTCAACAGTCAACACTGGTATCATCCTGGCTCTCAGGTTAATAACAGTCAGGCACCTGTTAAAATTATTTATTATCTTCTGCATTTTAAGAAGTGTAGCTGTTTCATGTGTTGTAAGTTTAACTGGACTTCAACACATCTGAAAATACACATTTCCCCAAGTCATTTTAAGATTAAAATTCAGTTTCAATTTCAGATACCTGAATTGACTGTAAATGCAATCTGATAATTGCTTTTCCAAAATATTCAGTCTAAAAAGACACCACCTTTGCAGAATTATTACTTCCTAATAGATCTATCTATACAACTGTACTGTATATCAATACTAATGGATTTCTGCCAATGTATCTTGGGTGATTATTTTGGGCCTATCACTCCAAAATTCCAATTCCATCCCAAAATGAATTACAAATACCCAAGCCTCTGATTTAACAGGATCTTCAATATTGTTCTTTTTCATTGTAAATATAATAACATGTAAAGCCAGTGAACTCAATACAATAAAAAACTGCATGAAGCATAGAATGGTTTGGTTTAATACAACAATGAGTCAATTAAATCTAGACTTTAT